AGGTGAGGCTTCAGATGAGGATGATGCAGAAGAGGAAGAATCTGAAGAAGAATATGCAGCAGAGGAGGATGAAGAGGAACAGGTGGAGGCAGATGCAGATGAGGAGGAGGAAGTCCCAGCTAATAATGAGGAAGACGACGAGAAGGAAGCAAGGCAAGAGGGTGATGATGAAGAAACTCAAGGAGTGGATGTAGATGAGGATGACTCTGAAGATGAAGATGGTGAATCACACTTTAACAAAAAAAACATGCACACATTTTGAAACATATTAATGGGTTAGCAAGATACTAAATGGTGCAGTATTTAAAGTTACAACAAATAATGAGATTTTTTGGAACCCCGTGAGTGACTCTGTACTCTACAGTAGCTCTCTGACATTGTTCAGCTTACTAGGGTTACTTTAGGAACACTGTCATACATATCAGTCCTAAAATGGACTGGATTATCTGTGCAACAGCAGGAACACAACAGTATCTAAACCATCTATTTTTTGGTGGCCAGTGTAGCTTTTGAGACTTCAAACAAGCACCAAACATTGAATGCTTTGAGATTTGTCCAAAAGAGGGTGTTATAAAGGGATTTTTAAAAAAAAATTTCAGTCATTGCTTCATGCTTGAAAAAAAAAAAATGACAACAAATGATATTATGGAAAAACAGCACCTGTAGGAATTTTAGCTTTGTTTACAATAAATCTACTTAGACTATTTTGTAAAAACAAACATGTCACATGTGATAGGTTTGTAGCATAAACCTATTCGCTGGAACGTTAAGGACAATTCAACAACACAGCGTCAGTGTGTGACCCCATAAATGACTTCCCTAAACCTGCCGGTCTGGAAGTCTAGCAGTACATCTAAACAAAAGGTACTTAGACTAAAACTGACATAGCTACGTTTATCCTACCATAAAACAATAAGGGAAGGTATGCCCTCTCCCATGCTCCCAGGATGTGGGTGTGAATGCCAGAACACTCTGGAATGCACACCAAGCCTTTGCAGACTATTAAGGATTAAACCTCTACCAACATGACATTGATTATAACACTCTAAGCATATATGAGTAGATATTTCTAAGCATAAATGACAATCAACAATACAAATCTAACAACATGATGTTATAACAAAAATATAATACAAAAAACGAGACCATCTGTGCCATATTATTGCATCAAATAGAATTAAACATTAGACACGTAACTTGTAAATAAATGGCAGTAATCAGTACTCACTAGAAAAGGTCTTTTTGGATTGTGTGTTAGTACAGAGGCTCAAAAAGTCACTGTACTCTCAGCGGTTAACTACAAAAAGGGTGAAAAAGTGATGAATGAAGTTGTAAATTACTCCCAAATGAATTTAAATCATCAGCACCAACACAACAATTTGGAAACCCATGTGAATACTTAGGTTTTGATACAGTGAATCAGGAACCCATTCACAGTCTTTCACTTGTTCAAAGGCCCCTGCAGGCCAGGAGAAACATTTTCTGGTCTGATGAAAACATAGATGAAAATCTTGCAAAACAGCATGTCTGGAGGACTTATCACCTGGCCAATACCATCACAGTGAAGCATGGCGGTGGTAGCGTCAGACAGTGGGGATGGTTTTGGTAGCAGGAACTGGCAGTTGTAATTGTTGCAAAAGGTGTTAGTATTGACCAAAGGTTGTGAATACTTATGTAAAACTTATATAATTGTATTTTATTTTGGATAAATTTGCAAGAATTTCCTGCAAAATATTTTCAAGACATATAGGGTTATAATTCTATATTTATTTAGACAATTTAATGTTCTACAAGATACAGTTGGCTCTATTCCACAGCGTGTCTTGTCCTGTCTTCCTCCCCTCACTCCCAACCAATCACTATAGCTACCTCTCAGTTTTCTTCCTGTTAGTTTTTTCCAGTCCACTGTCACCAAAGCACTTGCTCACAGAGGGTCATCTGATTATTGGGGTTTTCCCTGATCCTTACAATATAAAGCACCATTGGGCAACTGTTGTTGTGATTTGGACGTATAAATAAAACTGAATTGAAATGACTATTATACAGTTCCTGATTCTGTGAACCATTTACAGATGAGTCTGAAGGTAAAGACACAAAGGACAACCAAGGTGACTCAGATGAAGAGGAGGGAGTTACTGACACTCCACAGTTCCACTCTGGATCGTTGTGTAGTGTTTGCTCCATTTGTGAGGTAAAAAACAAACAAACAAACAAAAACATGTAATGGAAATAACAGACTTTTTTGTGAATCTACCCAGTAATCACACATCATTATAAGTCCTGTGTTGTCGATTTGACTATATACCATATGCACGACTAATCACTCTACGTTGTGGTTCCTTCCCATCTTGTAGCATTGCTCTAATAACTGTGCCAAGTGCCCGTGTGAGGAAGGAGATGAGTCTGATCACTGCGAGCACTGCCAAGTAAGCATCTTGACTTAAAAAGGATTATAACTGCTGTAATAATACACAGCACTTCATTTTGCCCAGTGCCTCTTTGCGTTAATCCTTTTTGTTTGTTTTGTTTTCCAGGGTTGTTCAACTTGCTACATTTGTCCCATTCTTTGTGACACAGTTTGCACACCGGGTAAGTGCTAGTTGTGATTCTGTGGGTGTACTGATGTGTGTTCACAGATTTCATTAACTTTGGTTTGACTTAAATTTTATAGGTGGTTTTGTTGATGAGCTAACTGGATCCCTCTTTCAGTAAGACTATTCACATTTAAAAATACAGAGATATTTTTAGATTCATTATTGTTGCACTGTTGCCTTTACACATAGTTTTCCTTTTGTTTCTGCAGGACTGTTGCCTCTCTGCTCTGAGCTCCCTGGGAATTATGTCCGTTTGCTTTAATGTGAAACTGCTCACCATACTTCACCACATCCCACACAAGCTTTTTATGAATTTTGCAAACAAAAGCAAAGACATATTTATAATTTAAATGATACTTAATTCTTTGTTGTAAGAAGAACAGAAAAAAGTCAGTGTGCACAATTTTTCCTCACATGATTTCTTCTTTCACTCTTTCCCCCTTTTTTTGTCTTTTTATTATTTCTACCAAAGTCCCAAAATTTGATAAAGTAATCTTTTTACTTATGCCAAAGACATTATGCGATTGTAAGGTTTTGGAGTTTTTTTTAACAGTAGGTTTAGGAATTTAGGGAATTATTCTTTTTTATTGTGAGAAAGGGCACAATTTGACATTTAGCTTCACAATTACATATCAAATTGAAAAACAAAAATAACTGTTCTGGTTTCAGAAATCCAGCTGGATCTAGAGACACAGTTTGTGCATGGAGTTAATGGAACACACACACAGACATATAGGAGCTTGTCATGAATCATGCAGACAAAAAAGATATATAATATATACATTACCAGTCAAACATTTGGACACACCTTCTCATTTAATGGTTTTCTTTATATTCATGACTATTTACATTGTAGATTGTCACTGAAGGCATCTAAACTATAAATGAACACATGGAATCATGAAGTAAACCAAGAAATGTGAAATAACTCAAAACATGTTTTATGTTTTAGGTTCTTCAAAACAGGCATGATTTGCTTTGATCACTGCTTTGCATATTCCTGGCATTCTCTCAATGAGCTTCATGAGGTCGTCACCTGAAATGGTTTTCCAACAGTCTTGAAGGAGTTCCCAGAGATGCTGAGCACTTGTTGGCCCTTTTGCCTTCACTCTATGGGAGTGGGACCAAAGAGCTCAAATTTGGACTCATCAGACCAAAGCACAGATTTCCATGGCCAAATGTCCATTCCTTGTGTTTCTTGGCCCAAACAAATCTCCCCTGCTTGTTGCTTTTCCTTAGAAGTGATTTCTCAGCAGCTGTTTGATTCGCACAGTCTGCTCTGAACAGTTGATGTAGAGATTTGTCTGCTACTGGAACTCTGTGTGGTATTTATCTTGGCTCTAATCTGAGGTGCTGTTAACTTGCAATTTCTGAGGCTGGTGACTCGAATGAATGTATACTCAGCAGCATAGAGGACTCCTGGTCTTCCTTTCATGGGCCGTTTCTCATGTGAGCCAATTTTCTTGTAGCACTTGATTGATTTTACAATTGCACTTGGGGATACATTCAAAGTTTTCTTGACTGACTGACCTTCAGTTGTTAAAGTAATGATGGACTGTCGTTTGTCTTTACTTAGCTGATCGGTTCCTGCCATAATTTGAATTCTAACAGTTATCCAATAGAGCTGTCAGCTTTGTACCAACCTGACTCCTGCGCAACACAACTGATGGTCCCAATCTTATCAAGAAGGCATGAATTTCCCCTAAATGAAGCCTGACAAGGCACAGCTGTGAAGTCAAACCATTTCAGGTGACTTCATCATGAAGCTCATTAAGAGAATGCCAACGGTTTGCAGCGCTGTCAACAAAGCAAAGGGGGGCTACTTTCAGGAATCTAAAATAAAGGCATATTTAGAGTTGTATTTTTTTCTTTGCAACATAATTCCATATATCATGCTTTATATACTTGATAGGAATATGTGTTACTGCACTAGAGGAAAAAAGGACCATGAACATTATGACAAATTGCAATTTCTCATGTTGTGTCCTTTTTGAGTTCTTGTGCTTGCTTCCTGTTAGAGTACAATTTAATGCAAAACACTGTAAAAAAGAACTGTTTTGCCATTATCCAATAAAAAATTTAGTTCTTTTAGTAAAAATGTGTTTAGCGTAGTTGCGTTTTGCATCATATGTATCCTTTAGCTTCTGCAATTTAACTGTTACAGTCTCTAAATGGTTCACAATAAATTGGGTTCAGAAACGGAAGTTGTGGGTTGAAGATTTTGTAAACAATAAAACCCGGAAGCCAGTAAGGCACCGGTGCAAATGTCAGATGTCATGACTTATATTTCTCAATAGGTAATTCAGGCACTTAGTCTTACATAACACACATAAAGGTGTAAAAAACAGATTACCAAAAAGGAAAAATGGTCCAATTCAAAGGTCAAACTTGATACCAACATTTTAAAAATATTTTCCAACAAGTAAACATGCAAATGTGTCAATCAAACAGGGACCCTGTGATCCATGTCTTTTTTGTTAGCGGTTTGTTGTCTTTAAGATCAAACCAAAACAACTGTGCTTGTTTTGTCAACATACTGCCACAGACTAAGAGGCAGTACTCATTGTGACAAATGAACCAAAGTAAACAGGAAAAATTGATCTACTGTACTCAGAAGTAAACATCAGATGATTAAATAATATAATGTATATTTATGTAAATTAGTAAGGTCAGGTTCGATCTTTCTGTGCTTCCCAACTACTTAAAAACTCTTTGTTCATTTGTCAGTGATTTGACAAAGAAAATAAGAAAAATAACGACCAACAAATTGTAAAAATCATAAACATTGTCATGTCAAGATCAAGTCTTTCACTGATCCGCACAGTCATTTGTCTTAATAAACAATCATTTTCACTGTGTCAGTTTACTCCATAGCTTGCCATCATCTTTAATGTTTTGGAAAAAGGTGTTGTGTGTTTGCTGTATTTCTGTTCCGCATAAACACAAAGAGAACTGGGCCTAACAAAGCAGAGGGATGAGTGTGTGAGGACATGAAGGACAGAAAACCTTTTTGTGTAGATTCACTTACCAAAGTGATGCGTGTATACACACAAGACTGGTTGACATTAAACATTACCAGGTAACAGACATGCCGTCCGTGTGATAACAAATTGTAAATCTCTGTACCTTTACCTATCAATATTTTGTAATAAATTGGCATATGAATGAAATTTGACAATTGGATTTTTATAAATTTGTCACCACTTTTGGCTGACTAGTGTAATTACTGCGGTTTGTAGGAATCATGTCTTAATTTATTTGCTGATCTTAACATTCGTCAATGTTTTGTGTATAATAGTTTTATTTTATTCGATAATAGTTTGTGGATGGTCACATGATTGGGGTTGTATTGAATGCTAATAGGCACCTGTTGGTAGGATGAATCTTTCAATGTTTTTTTTCTTTAAAATATAAAGTTTGCACTTTGGAATACGTTTTTCATTTCCCTTTTCAATAATAGAGATTTAGTGGTATTGTTTTTTGTTTTTATCTCAGTATCATTATTTTTGATTGATGTGTCACACGAATGGATAGGTTAAATCTCCATGTCAGTGACTTTAATTTGTTCCTGGGGGCCCTACAACTTGTTTTAAATAGTGTCACAGGAAATACAGGAGTGATATCAATTTCAAAAATGTCATCTGAATATGAAGCTTACACCATCAGCTTTGTTTGACCCGAACACTGTATATGGGGGCTTGGTTGTCCAACTCAGTGATTAAAAAAAAAAATCCACAAGTTTGCATAAATAATAATACAAATGATGAACTCTATACAAAAAACAAAGTGAGGGACCTGTCACTGCACCAAATCAGTGACATATTTTCACCTTTGTCTCATCTAGGAGTAATAGAAACTAAGGGTGTTTTTTCTGGATTGTAAAAAGAAAAGAAAAGAAAAGAAAGAAACCCGACAAACAGCTCTATTTCCTATGAAACCTTTTGTAAGCCGAGCATCTGAAAATTCTTGTACATAACAAGATTTGTTTGTGCTGTGCTTTAGAAAAAATGTATTGCCATTGGAATGAATACATTTTGTTGCAGTATGCACTGTTTTGGGGTTTTGTCTTGTTTTGTCCATTTCTTTAATTATTCCATCCTCTGGGATCAAATATATGATTTCATATACACACAAGCACTTAAGTGATGCATTGGAGTAGAATGAATATAGTTAAACATACTGACTTAACCAGATAACTGGTACACTCCTATTGATGCGTGTATTTTGAATACCACATTCTGAAAAAGTGTCTTCAACCATGTTGTGTGTCTCCCCTATACTGCTCTTTGTTTATATACAGGGGGTGTCCTCCCATTGTTTAGCATATTATATATATATTGATAAATATAGATAAGTATCTTGAAGTGTACTGAGGCAGTTTCTTACCCCTTTCCCACTGATGGACTCATTGAAAGTGGACAAAAGTTTTTTAATCTGAGACTTGAAACCAACACATCACTTCACAAGACTTGGAGACTGGAAGAGTGAAGGTAGGATGATTTGTCAAACTTTTAACCCTGAGTACAGTAATATGAACAGTTGTCTAATCTTGACAGCTTCTTTGTGGAGTTTTGTAAAAGAATGAGGATCACAAATCTCATCCAAGTGATCATTTTAGGGCTTTTTGATGCTCATTTTAAATCTTAATCTTTATAGAATAAACTAAATTTCCACTGAGAACAATACTGAGATGCTTCCCCTTCCTAAAATCTCAAATCCAAAGTGGAAGGATTTATTTTTTTTGTTATTGATACACTGAGTAATAGCAAATGTCATTTATGTAGTATATTATAGAACTCAAGAAAGGCTTCAAAGGCTCTGTCCTAATTAAATATGTTTATGTTCTTTATAATCTAACTAAAACTGCATAAACATGCAAAGTTTTCCAAGTTACAACAATCTATACCATTTGTAGTGGAGTGCACATTGAAAGGAAATGAAGTTAAAGTGAGTGGAGGTGGACTCAGTGGAACATATACAGGACTTCAGTTTCACTTTCACTGGGGTGATGTAAAAAATCCAGGCTCAGAGCACACGATTGATGAGCACAGATATCCAATGGAGGTACAATGTTTCTTCATTACTTGACATCTAAACTCCTTTTCTATATTTTGCTTTGCCTTATAAGTTGTTGGACTTTCTTCCAGATGCACATAGTCACTCAGAAGGATCATCTCACTGCCCCTCCAGAGTATCCAGATGGATATGCTGTACTTGGGTTTTTTATAAATGTCTGTATGCCCCAGACTTCACGCTGCTATTTTTAAATAGGCGATACTTATAAAACTGGTTTACATTGACGGCTTTTAAGTATTAACATAATTAGCATTCATTCATAATGTAGAGTTGAAGTCCACAGGAGTCAGAGCCATGGGTGAACTTTACATCATACCTGGCAAACCTCACCGACAAGGGTTGGTCTTTTCTTCCACTAGAGTTCCAATGGCTTTGTTTTTTTAAAAAAAAGAATATTGAAAACAGTAGATTAGAAGAATGGCCTGCCATTGTTGTAGTAGTTATAACAATAGTTAAAGGAAATTTGTGTTTGACTTCTTTGTCTGTATGTGGAATTATTTTTGAAGTCAAACGATAAAAGTTTGTAAAGTCATGAAGCAGAAGAGGGTGAGACAGTAGCTGACAAACCATGCCTCTTGACTTTTGTGAACATGCACTGAAGTGAATATAAAATGCAAATCACTTTATGATTACATTTATTTATCCTTTTAAATTCAAGTCTCTTTAATTCTAATCTTTCCACAGGGAGCAAGGTTCGTTTAGACCATAGCATCTCTATTGATGACTTAATTGGAAATGTAAATTTGACAAAGTTCTACCGATACATGGGTTCCCTGACAACGCCTGCTTGCAACGAAGCAGTTGTGTGGACAATCTTTCATGAGCCAATCCACGTCAACACTGAACTGGTGAGTTCTCTTTAGCACAAGAGGAGCAAAGATCGTGTAAGGTGATCTGCAAATATGAATGTTCTCTCCACCTTTTAACACAAGCACAACTAACTAAACGGTCCAAGCTGTATGAGAAAATGCTGAAGAAAAAGCTTCTTATATTAATTTATGTATTAGATATCAGTTAATTTATCACTTAATTATAGTGAATAGCTTGACCTGTAAATGACTCGTGGCAAATGGAATTCTTCTGTTATCCAGTCTGTGTTGGAATCACAAACATTTGCAGAAGCAAACTCTGAAACATGCAGCCAAGCACACGTGACATACCGATGGAACACACTGGTACATGCTGGTGTCTGCTTTGATTATTCTGTTTGATAATCATGCCTTTTTATTTATGTTATTTCCATTGACTGTGCCAACAAGGAAAAATGTTGGGCAAACTGCACGTGACTGTGTGGGATAAACAGATAATTCTGAGTCATGCAAATGTAACAGAATGACACGTGAAGTCTTTCTTTTCACCTTATCTGCCTAATGGTGGTCAGCTGTCTGCAGTTAGTGAGGGGTAGGCCCTAGACTTGTCTGGCGACTCAGCAGATGCATGACTCGTTGAATTTAACTTAAGGCATCAATGAGTATGTAAATCTCTTACAACACTTTTGTGTGCATAGTCTGTAAGATTATAAAGCACCTCATTAGCCTGTATTTTACAGGCATGATAGGAGACATCTGAGAGTTTATTTTTGTGGAAACAGAAGAAATACATCACAATTATTAGAGTTTTGTATTTACTATTTTTTTCCCCTATTTTCTTTTCTTTCTTTTTTTGATTTGCTTTCTTTCAGTAACATTTCAAAACAGATTTGATAAAAATTATACTGAGGATAATTGTCAGGGCAAGATTTAAGATGTCCAGAACCTGGATTACAATATGAATAAGGCAGCTAGTTCACAGTCTCAATGACTAAATGCACCAACGCGTCATTAGGTGGGGCATTTCCTTTTTTTTAAAAAATATTAGACAATTTTGTGCATTATGATTTATTTATCATTTTATTTGACATAACTTCCACTGGGGTGACACATCAGATACATCTGAAGGCTCAGAGCATACTGTGGACTCAAAAAGATACCCAATGGAGGTAGTGACAAAGATTAAGCTTTTTTTTTTTATAACCAAACACATAGCCTGTTTATACTTCATTCCATTAATTCTTTTTCTTGTCCAGATGCACATTGTAAGCAAGAGAAAGGATTTAACCCTGGATCAGGCACTACAGGCGCCTGATGGCTTGGCAGTGCTGGGATTTTTTATTGAGGTAAAACTTGGACAAGTGAAACTGTTAACAATAGTATATATGTGCTGTATTGGTATCAAACACCTTTGACTGCTTGTAATAAATGTACCAAACCTGTACATGTCAAAAAAAGCTAAATCTATACTATACTCAAATTTCTGACGGCATCTGCAATGTGAACAGGGCAGAAGTAATTCCAAATAATAGTTTCCACTGACTGACAGGTGCCCTCATGTACAACATTATATCAGTATTTCATCTAAAGTCAAACAGTTTCCATTTTAACCTGCTCCACGCACAAAGTTATGTTATCACTGTCCCAGGCACTCAGTGTTGTTGTTTGACAGTGCAGTTCATGCTGGTGGCTGATGACAGTTTTTATTTCAAGGACGGAAATCCGTTTCTGAAAGTTAAAGTAAAAAATTGATATTTTCTGCTCATTTGACCTAAAAGATCAGCGAGTATGTCGCCTTTAGATGGAAACCCATCTAAAGGCGACATACTCGCCTTTAGATGGAAACTCATGAGATAACGTCACGCTAACGTCTAAATCCATAAACTCTCAGCTGAAGTGGCTGACCGGAATGTCACGTGGAATACACATTACCAACTCTCTACCATCAGTATTACTGATGGTAGAGATTTATTTATTTATTTATTTCAAGTTACAGCTGTTGGTTAAAATGTTTAAAAATAGCTTAAGACTGAAAAAATGTGCAATTTTCTGATTGAGGAATTTCCAAAAAAATAAAAGGTACAGGTCTGCTATCACCTTGCTAAGACATTAAATTGATTAAACCACTGATCACGAAGAATTTATCATATAAAATATTACAATATCTCTCCTCTGGGCAGTGACGAAACAGTGATTTTTTTACTAGTTCCTCATTATCTATAGAGATACTACAACACACTATAGATTTAAAATAATGTAGGTTTATTCAGTGCAAATATTATTAGTTATATATTAGTAGGAATCTTTAGTGAATGAATATTAACAACTTTAAACTTTTATTGTGTTTAACTTTACTAGGTAATCTATGTCATTACATTTAAAGTTCACTGTTCAGTCCTTTGGACAGCTGGTTGTGTGAAAATCCAAAATGTCTCCCTTTTCTTTAGTGGCAGGTCATGATCTCTAGCCAAGTTTTAAGCATGTTTAATCCCAGAAAAGCAGAGAGAAGCTATGATATGTTTTATATCATTAATGTTGGCAACTTTATATCACAAAAGAAACATACCTAAAAACAGAATGTATCAGAAACACGTGATCCTTGGCCTTCAGTTGGAATAACTTTCACGCATACCAACATGCATATATCATGTAGGAAACTATTCTTAATTAATAAATGCTGACTACATTTCACTGTAAATATTGATTTTTTTATGTTGTCCTTGACTTGATAACTGTATTGAACAGTTTTTAGGAAACTTGATAGACTTGAAATCAGTGACCAAGATCGAGTATGATTGTGATAGTTGACCTTAACAACACACACTGAAAAGCGAAGCGCTTCTACTATCATAAATAAAAGTGAGAAAATACCATACTTTTTTCATAGCAATAATGTGAAACAAGGGGATGCAATGATGTTTATTAATGCTAGAGTAATGATAGAACTGCACCACAGCACAATAAGCTATGATAGACTATGTTCAAATAGAGTCAATATAATGTTGGTTCAGGTAAAGTGATTCATCTGCTCAGTTTCCTCTGGTGTGAATGAAGCTTTCACTTATCTGTGAAATCAGCTGCTGTCAGTATATCACTAATCAGTGCTGGGCAGGAAGAGAAAAAACATGTGACTGTCTTCAACAGTTCAACACATTCTTTGGCAATCTGTATATGCGTCAGGTGAGTTCACCTTTTCATCAACCCTTATGAGGCTTCCACGACAGGCGCCAGCAGTTAGCAGATTACATAAAAGGTTACACTTCTGCACTAATAAACCAGGAGCATGTATTCCAGTGCAGGAACATAGACATTAAATAATGATGTGAACATTAAATATGTCTTAAAATATGTTTTTTCCCCTTTAAATACACCAGATGAAGATGTTCTCTAATCAAACAGGATATTTCAATGTGTATCGACCCACACAGCCCCGTCATACCAGAACAATCCTAACTACAGCTGGCAGCGTTCGTGGGAAAAGTGGATCTGTAGCCAGTACTCCTCGACATCTGTTATGGTTTCTGCTGCTGGTACGCAGCATCGGTGTCTATTTTATTTCATTTGGATCAGCCAAGAACTGCTGAGAAGAATATACAGTGCTGCACTTATTAGGTTCTTTATATGTTAGCTTGGAAAGTGATTTTTCATTGGTGACATTTGAATATGTAATTTTCATTACTTTCATTGTATTATTATTATTGGTTGATTTTAGGGTGAGCAGAAATGCAGATTATAAAACTTTGAGGGGATTAATGTCATACTGCCATGATATTAAACCTTGAAACTGAGATTACCAAACAAAAATATTTCTGCAGTTGCTATAAAATAGCTGTTTCTTTAACTTCATCAAAAAATATCTTATGAGGGAAAAAAAATCACTATTTAAAAAAAATATATAGTAAAGGTGATATGTTTGCTATAAAAAAGCAAAGTATAACGGTATATTTTTAAATCAAACACTATTCTTTAGCAGTGGAAAATGTATTCTTCTAGCCAGTTTAAATAAAAAAAACCCCCACTGGTTTCAAATTGAAATGTGTGATTCTTGTATGACGCTACAGGTCTGAAGCTTCATGTCTGCTAGGGTTCATTTCACTTACATGCTTGATATAATATATATAAAGTGAGGAGGGAATTTAAAGCTCCTTCAAACTCGGGTCCTCTACCAGAGGCCTGGGAGCTTGAGTTTCCTGTACCTGTGGTTGACCCCAGCCTCTATGGATCTTGTGCTTAGATCTTGTTCCTGTGCGGCCATGATTAGCAATAAATACAACTGAATTGGACTGAATTGAATTGGTGCCATGTAAATGTGAATCTGATCCATTTATTTATTTTGTAACCGTTACAATACATGGCTCTATGTTACTCTGAAGTTGCTGTTACTTTTAATAACAGCAAGATTAGTATGTCAGCCAAACGAAAGTAACGAGGGAGTGCCGTCTTGTATCAGTTTGACTTTTATGTCAGCAAAAACTACAGTTGATCAGGAACCAGTCTAGGTGGCCCATGTTACTTAGACATGGATAACGTGCGTAATCTCTACTCAATTGCATTGAGCATGACCTTTAGCGTATAGTGGTGTAACCTAAAATGCATTTTGCGCTGATATCATAATGGCACAAAGTTAAAAGAAATGTGTCATCTTTAAGTACCAATACAGTTGGAATATCACAGTATGTCATCCTATAGCTGCCCTTTATCTTTTAAGTTTAGGCCCTCTACACAGTGGTTGATTCTTTTTATATGAAATGACTGGTATGTACTAGGAACTGATCTGATATCTCTGTGCTGGTGTTGTTTTTACGTCATCATAACTGCTGATCCAGGAACAACATCACAACTGACAAATGATGTGGTCTGAGCGTTCAATTAGCATTAGCCAAGAAGTTAGTTAATGCTTTTAAAAGCAACCATCAGCAAACCAAGACGAATTACTTAAATTTGGGTAACAGTTAACCTAACTCTTTGTTCTAGGGCTTTAGGCAAACCAAAGCATTTTTTTCTTTCCCGCCACATTGCAAAGTTATGACATCGCAACAATGTGGTTGATCAGTTGGTTGATCAATTGATCCTGGACCAATAAAACAATAAATCACATGATAGGGTTGGGCAAGGTTTACAATGGGTCCAACCGAAACCTTGGCTGATTGTGACCCAAACCTGTTTTCACACCTTTGCTCGTGTGATGAGGTAGAGGATCAATGACCCTCTTGCAGACACTCCTATAGGGCTTAAAATTTGGAACATTAATTGCACTTCTCGGATGAGAGGTGAAACGTCTTCAAGAAAACTTGAAGTCCAGATGCTTTTCTTTCCATGCTCCTTAGACCATCCCGGAC